CCCTGTGGGCCATTCTTTCCTCTGGTCCTGTGTTCCAACCTGTAAAATGAAGAAATGATAGTGCCTCCTAAGGTTGTTGAGATGATTAGGTGAGATAAAAGTGGCTTGAACCAAGTAAAACCCTTAGTCAGTCTCTGGCATTTGGTAGCACGTGATGTCTTTTCTTTCCCAGCTAAAAGAATTAGATAAAAGCCACCATTTGACAGAGTATAGTGCAATTTGGTACACTCACAAGGTTGCACAACCACTATGTAGTTCCAGAACGTTTCCATCCCCCAACCCCCCAAAAAAACCACACCACCCTGGGCCATTAGAAGTTACTGTCCACAGCCCCACACTGCACTCCTTAGCAACCACTAATCTCCTGTCTGTCTCTACGCATTTTCTTGTTCCGACATTTCTTATAAATGGAATCATGCAATATGTATCTTGTGTTTGGCTTCTTAGTATAAAGCACATGATTTTTTGTTGTTGCTGTTCCTATTTCCTATAGCTAGAATAACATGAGACTCAAATGACATAATGGATATGGAATTTCTTTGTAAAGAAGAAATTGCTCCAGAAACATAAGGAGTGATGTATACATTGGGAGTGTCTGCTCATCTGAGATAATGGCAGGGAGCCCACGAAATTCCCCAGAGGGAAAATAAGCACAAAGGGTTAAGAAACATAACAGGCCTGAAAATATGCTTCCGTGTGTATTATTCATAAATAATTTAACCATTTAAAAAAGGTTCACCAGACTTTTCTCCTAAAACCTTTTGCTTGTCCAGTTAAATTCAGTTCATCCTGAGCCCGGCCACTACCCTGTGCAAGGCTTTAGTCTCTGAACATCTTTAAAGTCATGCTTTGCTGCCTGGGGAACATGGAGACTGAGCTGCGGCGAATCCACACTCCCCTCTGGTTGACCCCAAAGACACTCATGGAGCCCACCAACAGGCCTTCTGCAGGCGGGTCGAACACTAGATGACTGTCTAGTCTGAAATTTGCTTTCGTGTGCTTCAGAGGGAAGCTTGAAGCCCATTATTCCTTCCTGTGTGGGGGTTATGAACCATTTGGGAATCTGCCCATTCCAATGGTCCTGCCCAAATGCAGACCATCATGTCGCAACTCTAACCCGCTTCACCTTCAGTTTCTCATGGAACGAATTCCTCTGCTTGGCATTGCCTTCCAGAGAATTCTTAAAAACGTGAGGTCTTAAAACCGTCTTCTCAGAGTTGACTGTTGGATTTGTCCTCCCCATTGCAAGCCACAGGTAACTCGGCTTTCAGTGCAGTGTTACCACAGTATGATGGTGTTGAAAGCTTGCCAGTCATGCCCTCCGGCTCCCCTCCCCCACCAATGATTTTTTTAAATCATTTTATTAGAGACTCATACAACTCTTATCGCAATCCATACATACATCAATTGTGTAAAGCACATTTGTACATTCATTGCCCTCATCATTCTCAAAACATTTACTCTCCACCTAAGCTCCTGGCATCAGTTCCTTATTTTTCCCCTCTCTCCCCTCTCCCCCCTCCCTCATGAGCCCTTGATAATTTATAAATTATTATTTTGTCATATCTTGCCCTGTCTGATGTCTCCCTTCACCCACTTTTCGGTTGTATGTCCCCCAGGGAGGAGGTTATATGTAGAGCCTTGTAATTGGTTCCCCCTTTCCAACCCAACCCTCCCTCCACCCTCCCAGTATCACCACTCACACCAGTGGTTCTGAAGGGATCATCTGCCCTGGAGTCCCTGTGTTTCCAGTTCCTATCTGTACCAGTGTACATCTTCTGGTCTAGCCAGACTTAGAAGGTAGAATTGGGATCATGATAGTGGGGTGGGGGGAGAGGAAGCATTTAGGAACTAGAGGAAAGTTGTAGCTCTCATCATTGCACCATGACTGGCTCGTCTCCTCCCCAAGGCCCTTCTGTAAGGTGATGTCCAGTGGCCTACAAATGGGCTTTGAGTCTCCACTCTGTGCTCCCCACTTCATTAATAATGATATGATTTTTTGTTCTAATGATGCCTGATACCTGATTCCTTTGACACCTCATGATCGCACAGGCTGGTGTGCTTCTTCCATGTGCACTTAGTTGTGTCTGAGCTAGATGGCTGCTTGTTTACCTTCAAGCCTTTAAGACCCCAGATGCTATATCTTTTCTTTTTTTTTTTTTTTTTGACACTATATCTTTTGATAGCCGAGCACCATCAGCTTTCTTCGCCATATTTGCTTATGCACCCATTTGTCTTCAGCGATCATATCAGGGAGGTGAGCACACAATGATATTTTTTGTTCTTTGATGCCTGATAACTGATCCCTTGGGCACCTCGTGATTACGCAAGCTGGTGGCTCTCTGGGTTTTGCGACATGGTTTGGTCTGAAGTTTCAATGTTCCCTAACAGGAACAAAAAGATTGCTGAACTGCCTTCTTATGGCTGTGTGATGTTAGAGGATTTGACCTCTCCTTACTAGATCCACCCTCCCTTATTTTGACACTGAAATGGTTCTGGTTCATAGTGACCTTATAGGGCCGAGTAGCACTCTTTCATAGGAACCCCAAGGCTGTTCAATCCTTATGGAAACAGCCTGTCACGTGCTTCTCCCAAGGAGTGGCTGGTGAGTTCAAACTGCTGACCTTTTGGTTAGCAGCCAAGTACTTAACCACTGTGCCACCAGGGCTGCGTCAATGCCCTGTAACACCTTAATACTTTTTTTTGACAATTTACTCTTTATTGATTAAAAATGAAGGAGACATGCAGTAAATACAAAGTCCAAAAGGGGGGGGGGAATAAAGTTGAATATTTTACATCTTTCATAATCTAACATGTCATAAGGAGGACCCTCCATTTATTGATACACCATTATTTTATCCTCCAGATTACTAGTATCAGCTGGCTCTAGGATTTGGTTTAGAACTTAAGCAAAAACCCAAACAAATCCACTAGTCATTTGGGAAGACCACATTGTCATAAACAGCATTGGCACATGTGACCTTGCACTATACTCAGTCCCCACCCCGGGGACCTAGAGACAGCGGTGCCCACTGGCCTCCCACTCCGGAAAAAGGAAAGGGTGGGGCTGCTCGTGGTATCACCTGCTGTCCCCCTGACCCAGGCAGTCTCTGGCACTGATTTTCTCAGCAGGACTACCAGCCAGCAAAGGGGTCTACGACATATCATGCACAAAAAGAAACACTGTCGGGGCTTCCCATGCCTCTCCTCGTTCCTGGCCCCACAACAAAGAGCTGAAAAGGAGAGAAAGCCCCACAACACCTTAATACTTTACATTCACAAGTGCTTATGCCCACTGTATTTACACCTGCAATTCTGGGAATAGGAACTCTGTTGGTGTAGTGGGCTGTGATCCAAATGGTCAGCAGGTCGAAACTACCAGCAGGTCTGTGGGAGAAAGACTGGGGTTTCTACTCCCATAAACAGCTGCAGTCTTGGAAACCATAGGGGGTCACTGTGAGTCAGCATTGACCTGATGACAGTGAGGGTTTCTTGTTTTGGGTAATCCTGGGAACACAACCTTTGACTGAAGGTGTTGTTTATGCCTATCCTAGTTGTGGTCAACCCAAGCCCATATACCTCACACACTACCACTGCCCCACCCTCAGTGGAGGCTTACGTGTTGCTCTGGCGTGGACCTGGTTTCAACAGCTTCTAGACTAAGGGGTACTAGGAAGAAAGGCCTGACAGTCTGCTACTACAATGTCGATGCAAAGTAATAAATGAATTAGTTAATGAATTAAGTGTCAATGCAAACCCGACATAAATCATAAGTCTGATCTGCAATTGATCATGGGGCAGGACTGGGCATCATATTGTCTCATTATACATGGGTTGTCATGAATTGGGGACCAGCTCAATGGCAGTCAACAACTAGAAAGCTGTAGCCTGGAGGTCATTTCTAGACGCCTTCTTTGTTTTTATTCTGCTTTCTTTGGTTTGTTCTTCTGTTCCACTTCACTGATGTTTTTGCAGCATTTCCTATATGCTGCTGCTGTGGGCCGCTGAGTTGATTTCGGCTCCCAGCAGCCTCGTGTGAGAGAGTAGAGCTGCTCCCATAGTGAACTCTTTATGGGGGCAGATAGCAGGCCCTGTTCTTTGGCAGGGAGTTTGGTGGGTTCTCACCAGCCACTAGCTATTTGGCTGATAGCTGAGTGCTTGACAATTATACTGCCAGGACCCCTTTCCCCTCTACTATACAGATTTCAATAGAGAAGAGGAAGTCGAGATCTAGAGAGAAGCTGAGTTGTTGATCCATGGTCCCTGAGATAGTTTATTGTGCCAGCCTGGCCGATAAACACAAGTGGGATTAACTGAAGGGCGGTGAAATAAATGGCTCGGTGAGCCTTTCTTGTCTCTTGCTCTTTGATCATCGGACCAGTGTGCAGCTGCCTTGCTTGTCCTGTGCCTCAATTTACAGGCTACACTACCTGTGGGACGCCTAGCCTGTGGACTGTGTTGCTGTTAGCTGAGGTCCCTTTAAGACATCACTGGAGCTGGGGGCTGGCGGTTGGTGACCTGGCTGACAGTTGGTGACCTGCCTTGTGATTGGCTGCTGTGCTGACATAGCCTAGCTCTCTCTATAAATAGAGGAAGACCTGGCAGCAGACTAGACTTGAAGGACTGCTAGTCTCTCACAACTCTCTCTCACAGAAGTGAGTTGCACTGAGCCATTTGTAGTGCTTTATAATTTAACTGTTCATTTCTTGTATTATATATTTATCTGTATATGATTTAACAGTTAATTTCTTGTTATATATCTAATTATCTTTATAAATAAGTATATTAAGTTTTCAGCAATTTGGTTTTACCTCTCTAGAGAACCCTGTCTAACACAGTCCCTGTCCTTCACTGAGTGCACTCACAGTAAGCCAGCAGAGGCTGGCCTCCTTGATTTAACAGCCCATCGGACTGTGCGTTGCTTTGCAGGCTTTGGAGCCAGCAGGGTTTCACGGAGCTGAAAGGAGAACTTGCAGAACCAAAATGAGATTCCTGTTTGGTGAGCCCTCAGGCCATCTGACTTTCTCCAAAATAAAGTCTCTACTGATAATTTTGTTGTATCATTGTTAAAAAAGAAAAAACATCTAATAGTTCAGACCAAAAAATGTAAGAATACCCATTCTTCCCTATACCCAGAGAGTGATTATTAATACGTTCAAGTGTATTCTTGCAAACATCTTTCTTGCATTCATTTACGTGGTTGTTAGAAACTGCGTAATACTACTGTTATCATTTATAAATACATTACTATGTTAACAGAGATAATTCAGCTACATGATTTTTAATGGTTTAGCCATTGGCCTATTTACTTAAATAAGGAACATATAAATAGGAACATCGGAACTATTAAGAATCCTCTATTAATATTTCCAGTACGATTAGGTTCATGCAGTATGTTAATTTAACAGACTGCTTTTCAAAAAATGTAATCTAATATAAATTAGCTCTATGGTAAAACATTTTCAAATATTTACTTATTGTCAATACTTAGGAAAATACCAAAATAGAAAATCCTTGTAATTTTTCTGTCAGATACATTCAATTGTAACATTCAGGTATAGTTCCTTCCAGTTTTTGTTGAAATTTATTGAAAGGGTTATAGTCATATTTTCAAAAGTAAGAATATAGCCCTTAGTCACCTTTCGAGCGTGGGGCTGAGCTCCCGCACCATGGCTCAGCGTGCAGTCAATTGCTGTTGCTCTGCGGTGCTTTCACTGAGAGGGTGCCGACTCCCAGCTCTCCTCTGTACAAGGGAGTGGGGCGCTCATCCACCGATTTGACTGATTCTTGCAGCCGCTGTGTCAGCCCACCTCGTCAGGTCTTCCCTGTGAGCGCTGACCTTTCCTTGACTTGTATTTCATTGTTGTTGTTAAGTGCCCGTGAGTTGTGTCTGACTTATAGTGATGAGGTAGATAGGGAGTGAGGAAAGAAAAAAACAGAAGCTCTTAGGGTGTCAGTCTACAGTTGTCATTACGAGTTAAGCAGCAGATAGGCCCAACAGATGAACAATAACACCAGAGAGGTAGGCGCTCCTTAGGAAAATCAACCACTCATGATCAAAAGGGCAGCATTTGCCCAGAAACAAGTCCAGGAGGCAGGAAGGGTTAGGCAAGAAGGACAAATAGATTTGGGAAACAGAATAATAAGGACAGGGATTGCAGTCAACGGCATAAAACAAAATGCGCATGGATTGTTGGATGGAAGACTGATTTACTCTGTCCATTTTCATCTAAATCACAATAAAATGGTAAAAATAAAACTGAAAAAAGTAGAATTATACTATATAATTTTGAGTTGTCTTTTACAAATTGATATTAAGAATTTTCTCCTATTATTTAACATTCCTCAAAATGCATTAAAATAGCTGTTTAACATTCTGGCTTATGAAGATAAAAATTTGTAAATGATATTTTAAAATTCGTACTTAAAAAATAATTACTAAGGTAATAGATGTTCACTGTAAAAACCAAGCAATACAGAAATTTAACATTAAGAGTAAAAGTCTCTTGCTCAGTACCACAAACCATCTGCAGGTTTAACATAGGCTTACATTTTCTTAAGTTTCCACTCATATACATAGACATATCTACTAAGAAGCATTTACCAACCACAAATACACTGTTTTTTCCTATTAATGGTAAGTCTTCTACATCTTTTCATGCTAGTTTATATAGGCCAATTTTTTTTATATAGGCCAATTTTAAAAAACTGATTGTGTAGTAATCCAAAGAATACATGTGGTGTAATATAATCAATACCTGAATGATGATCATTGTTTTTAATTGTCCAGTGTTGCAAATGATTCCCTAGGGATCTCTGTACACACATCTTTGGTCATCTGTTTTAGTTTGTCTGATATCAAACTATGAGTTAAGTAAAAAAGTATTGCTCTTAGGATACCAGTTCCTATATACACAGATTTATTTTTTTAAAAACAAATACACGTTTAAACACATCTCTGTGGTCCGTGGTCAGCAGGCAAGTTCTATCAGTAATACACTGTCTTAATTTGTCTTAATGAGTCGCCTTAAGATGTCTGAAAAAAAAAAGGTCTAATTAAAACAGTGGTTTTTGAGGGAATCTACTGGTCCAGTCAAACTCAAGACAAAGAGGCCAGTTCACAAGATTATGCCATTTGGGGTGATTCCAAAGGGTTAATCTCGGTAAGTTTTCTCGAAAGTTATGGGAGAATATGGGGGCTTATTAGGAAAAGGTTTTAAGAAAATTGAAACCTGGTGGCTTAGTGATTCTGAGTTAGGCTGCTAACCGAGAGTTCAGCAGTTTGGTCTTGGAAATGCACAGGGAGAGCTTTACCCTGCCCCACAGGGGGCTCTGCGACCCCGTCAACTCGCTGACATCGAGTATGGGCCAGAAAAGGCCAGGAACGTTAAGTGATGAAGGTTTTCCCATCCTAAGGAGCCTGCTCATTCTTTGAGGACAGGAAGGATTATCTTATGAGAATTTATTTGGGAAATCTTACCCTATCTATCCTACACCTCTGATCTTGCCCCTTCAGATTTCGATTTGTTGCCAAAACTGAACACTGAAAAGGAACACAGTTTGAATCCTTTGGTATTTTTGCTTCTACAATTTTGTAGCAATGTTTTTTGACTTATGCACTGTACATTTAAAATTTTAGTAGATACTGTCAAATTACTCTTCAGAAGTTTTTTTTTTGTAATTTTTAATCAATTTGTTCTTTCACCAATATTGTAAGAAATCACCTTTTCACACCGTCTAGAACATTGGCTATTATCAATCGTTGCTAAACTGATAGGTAAAAAATGATATTGCACTTATGCTTTAGTTTGCCTCTCTTGATCATTTATGGAGTTTAAAATATTTTCATACATTTATAGTCCATTTCTATATTTTTGTTTTGTCATATGCCCATTTATGCCCATTGCCAACATGTTCAGATTTTCTTCTTGCAAATCTTAATAGCATTTTATTTAGTGAGTAAAGCTATTACCACTCTGTTCTGTGAGTTGGAACTATTCTTCCCAAGTTAGCATTTTATCTTTTGACTATATTGTTTAAAATTTTAATATTTGCCACAGTTTTTTTTATTTAGGCATCTTCATTTTATGATAGGAAAGACCCCTTTCTCTAAGAGTATGAATCATAGAAGGCAAAATCATAGAAGCAAAAATACCTAAATGTGAAGCTATTGCTTCTTGACGTATCCTCTGTCTACATCTATACAGTTCTCAAAGTGGTGTTTCCAACTCTTTAACCCTTCCCCCAAAACTCTGTGCTCTTGTATTTTACAAAACTCATCATAGCTGCTTGGACATCTCCAGAGGATTCCTTGCTTGAGGAATATTCACTCTTTTCCTAGTTATTTTATTTCCCCCAGCAGATTCATGTAGATTTATGATGGTAAAAAGAATAAAGTAGGGGTTTTGTCCAACACTTCTCAAATATCTCTATTTCTATATGAAGCCCTGGTGGTGTTGTGGGTTAAGGCATTGGGCTGCTAACCACAAGGATGGCGGTTCAAACCACCAGCCAGATGAGGCTGTCTGCTCCCTTATCGATTTACAGTCAGAAGTTCTACACAGGGACTCTGTGAGTTCGAACAGACCGGATGGCAGTGTGATTAACTAAGTGGCATACTTTATCTTTCAACATGTTTCTTGGCCATTTGCCTACTGTTGTTATTAGGTGTTGCTGCGTCAGCTCCAACTCATACCAACCACATGTACAACAGAATGAAACACTGCTGAGTCATGCGCCAAACTCACAATTAATTGTTTGAGCACACTGTGGTAGCCACAGGGTCAATACATCCTGTTAAGGGTCTTCCTTGATTTCAATGACCCTCTACTTCATCAAGCACGATAGCCTTTTCCAAGGACTAGTCTCTCCCGACAAGCCCAAACTACGTGAGACACAGTGTCACCATCCTTGCTGCCGAGGAGCATTTGGGCTGTACTTCTTTCAAGCAAGGTTTGAGTGGGGTGTCTGACCACTAGGCAATCCTGACACCATGTCCTTTTTGGAAGCTAGGCCTGTCAGTATCCTTTCCGTTCCTCTAGGAGTTTCCCTTGCTTTTAACTTGTGAAGTCTATCCCCAACTAGAATTCAAATGTGTACTTACATTTGTTTTTCAATGATAGGCTTCTTTCTTGAGCCTTATCCAGGAGATAGTGCATTTTGCATGGAAGCTAGGGAATTTCACGGGATTCAAAGGAAGTTTTGGTTAGGTCCTGGTTAGGCCCCAGGATGACAAGCACCTCAAAGCCCCATGCCTTCAGGTCTTTCATCTTTGCCTCTCTCTGCATCCTGGTTCCCCTGCAGTTGGGCATTACCTCTTTTTCGTGGTTACCCCACAAATGTGACCCCTCTTCCTGTATTACTAGCACTATTCTAGGTAAACTACCGATGCCCTGGCTGTCAGACTCCTGGTACAGGAGTGCCAGGACACAACTGTGCTCCATAGCGTTTCCAATGGCTGGTTTTCAGAAATGGATTACTTGGCCTCTCTGCTACGGTGCCTTTGGGCAGTGGAACCCCACCCTTTCACTTAGTTCATTAACTGTTTGTATCATCCTGGGACTCTCTTTAGGAGCCCTGGTAGCATAGTGGTGAAGGTTTAAGCCCTTAGCTGCTAGACAATAGCTTGGAGTTTCAATCCAACAGCCACTCTGCCAAAGAAAGATGTAGGAGCCTGCTTCCCTAAGGATTCACAGCCTTGGAAACCCGAGGTTGCTGGGTGGTCTTTGTTGCGAGGTGCTATCAGGTCAGTTCTGACTCACAGTGAGCAAATGTACAACAGAATGAAGTAGGGTCATTCTATTTTGTCTGCTAAGATCTCTATGAGCTGGAATCAACTCCATGACAATGCGTTTGCTCCTTTGTTTGGTTTTTGGTTTGGAGCTCTCTCTAAGTAAACAGTCCCCACCCTCCTACTCTCCTAACGCACTGAGTTCCAGAAAGGGAATCTGATTGGATGAATCTGGGTCAGGTGTTTTCCTCTTACCTTATTCATAAGGAGAAAGGGTAGGGTTCAGTGGGGCACATTTGGCTGCTGGGGTTCACTCCAGAGGATTGCTGACACATTTATTGAAAAGAGGAAGAGGGTCATTATAGTTTGTACACTCAAAAGGTTTGTACTACCAGTTGCTATTATCATATAATAGACCCCAAAGTCTATCTGTTTAAAAAAGGGCCCCTGGAGGCATAGTGGATTATCACTGGGCTGCTAAAGGACAAGGTCAGCATTCAAAACCACCAGAGGCTTTGAGGAAGAAAGGTGAGGTTTCTACTTCCCGCAAAGATTCCCAGCCTCAGGAACCCACAGGGGCAGTTTTAGTCTGTCCTCCGGGGCCACTTTGAGCCAGGAGCGACTGGCTGGCAGTGAATAAAGTCTATTTGGATTCTCTGTCTGTTCCCTGAACTAGTTATGGTGTAGCTAGCCTGAGCTGGGCTTAGTTATTCTGAATTTTAAGATGTGGAGATCTAGGCTTAGAGTCTCAACTTCTGGGGACAGAATGCCTAACTCCCTTAGGGAGCCCTGAGATGGACCTGGTCGAGGGGACGGGGGTTAGTTTAAATTTCTTACACTAGCCAAAGGCACTTCGATAGAACCTGGCTGGTCGTGGGTATATTCCATGTAGTGACAGCACCAAGCATAGCTCTTGACATAATTCTAAGATGGTATTTAGAACTTCTTTTTGAAAATGCTATTATTAATTTTTCTTCTTCGAGGTGGTCCTCAGTAATTTGTCCCTCTGCCATTCAAATAATCCTTCTTCAGGTCCTTTTGTCAGCGAAATGAATAGATAGGTAGATATCAATAAGAATTTAAAATGCAGGGCCTCAGGGAAATCCCATAGGTGTTGTAATCAAACCCTCAGACGCAAGTGGAAACTGGCATTTGTTGGGATCACCTAATTGTCTCAACAGGAGTTAGACTTCGGACAGTTCTTCACTGTGAATGATTTTGCTGAGTACTGCCGATGTTTAGCATACTGGTGCTGCTCAGGGAATTAATAGCCCTGATTCATCACCACCAAAAATGTCCCCACAAGGTTTCAGAATACTCTTTTAAAAAAAAATGATTTTACTGGGGGCTCATACAACTCTCATCACAATCCATACATACATCAATTGTGTAAAACACGTTTGTACATTCGTTGCCCTCATCATTCTCAAAACATTTGCTCTCACTTAAGCCCCTGGCATCAGTTCCTCATTTTCCCCCTCCCTCCCTGCTCCCCAGTCCCTCATGAGCCCTTGATAATTTATAAATTATTATTTTGTCACATCCTACACTGTCCGACGTCACTTTTCTTCAACCACTTTTCTGTTGTCCGTCCCCCAGGGAGGAGGTCACATGCAGATCCCTGTAATCGGTTCCCCACTTCAGAATACTCTTAAAGAGTAGTTCAGTCTGTATCACGGAATACAGTTCTGAGCCGTCTGGATTTCCTATTTGCGAGGATTCCTTACGTGTGAGCGAAGACCTTTACTGGTAGAGACACAGAGCTTTCAACAACTGTGAAGAGTTAGCATCTTGGGAACGCAAAGACGTCGTTCTACACGGTCCTGTAGGGGCGCGATGACTCGATATCCCCTCGATAGAATGATTTTGGTTTGGTTGGCCAAGGGTTTTTCATTTCCCTAGGTCAGCATGCCAACAGAGCCCTTGCATTCCAATTACATCTTCATTTGGATCTTTGGTCAAGAACACTTTAATCCATAACACTAAGTTAAAAACACTTCTTAGAAAGTCTGTGGTCTATGGTCTAACAATATATCAGTCCTTGGGTTAAAATTTCTGGTTATTTTGTGCCTCAGCCCCAAAGTGAACTTGAAGTATAAAGAGAATCTAACAGCATATAGTGGACAGGGCACTGGACTATGAGTGATCTTACTTACTTACTGTGATCTTAATTTCAATGAATTCCTCTGTAAAATGGGGAGATGCCTTTTAAACTCTGATATTGACATTTCAAAATGGTTTTCTGTCTCTTTCTGATCCTCCGTAAGAGTAGGACAGCAGGTGCTCACCTGTGGTAGAAGCCGTGGATTTTCCTTAATATTAACAAAACATTCCAACACTGTAGCCACCTCAACATTCAACCCTGGCAGGGATTCAAACTTCTACATAGATCTTAGAAGACTAAAGACAGTTTCCTATGAAATGTATGCTGTAAAAGGTGTCTATTTCCCCTGAGCTATTCAGTGTGGGAGAAGTGACTGCAGAGAGAAAGGACATACATTTTAATAAAGGGTCAGTCAGTGGAATAAAGTGGCATTAAAGAAGGAATCCCGAAGCCTTCTTTTCATGTGATGGTCACAAGACTAGTTTGTTTATTGAGTGTCCCTTTGGAGGAAGCACTATACGGATTGCCTTACGTATTGTAGCCTCATTTAATCCTGATAACAATCCTCTTAGAGCAGACACTATTATTACAAGTGGCAAAATGAGAATTTGTACCTGAAGTGTGTGACCCCAGAACCCAGATCTTGCAAGCCATATGTTCACAAACTCTTATTTGGTAGGAGGACAGAAGGTGGTAGAATGCTTTCTCTTTTTAACCCTGCCTGGCATCTGAGAAACTTACCCAGCTGCTGGGAGATGACTCATGGCAAGTTCAGGGTGGAACTGTGCTCTGGAGCATTTTAAATGACTGAGTTCTTTGGAAGCAGATCACCAGCCCTTTCCCCCTAATCTGTCTCAGTCTAGAAGCTCAGTGAACCATTCTGCATGATAATAATATTAATAATAGCACATGCTTGAGGGAAGTGGTAAGATTCAAATAATTTAGCAACTGTTTGCTGCTTAAGCACCATTTAAAATATGTATTAAAAAAGTATCGAAAGGTAGTTTATGATTTCATATAGCTAACACTTAAATAAGAATAAGAGGTACACAAAACTAGATTGTTCTGAGCTTAAAATATTAATGAAAAATATCAAACAATACCTGACAACAATAAAACTGTTATTTAAGATAGTTCCATATTGCTGCTTGAGAGTGTCCTTATGTGCAATATTCTTCACGTTAATCCGAACATCCACAGTTGTGTGATTTTTCCATCACCGTCTTTTCACTGTAGGAGTAGGATCCGGTTCCTGCAGAGGTAGGCCATGTAGAGAGACAATAGTCATTCTTTCATATATTAGAAACAGGTGACTTCTCTTCTCTGAACATATGATGTTCATCTTAAACAAAAACCAAAAAAGCTTTCTGATTGTTATGAACTTACAGCAATTGTTCTGACAATATTTTTAGCTCTTTGAACACTTTCAGGAATTGCGTACTTCATAATACCTTGTGAGAGTTTGAGGCATTAAAAAGAAAAAATGAGTGACAGCGTGCTACTGTCTGGTTGTTTGCCACTTTTGATGTTACCTGTTTACTGAAGTAACAAATACAAAGGAATAAAAATGCAGTACTTCATCAAAAGTGTAGACTTTTAATAAATAAATATTACAAGCATAGTTCCATTTAATATTTTTTATACCTATGTATAGAATGAAACATTATTAAAGGTGCTTAGAATATGTGGTTGCACAAACAATTATTAAAAGAAGGAAGGTAAATTTGGTTGTCCCCTGCCTTAGAAGCCTGTTACAAGTGTCATTTTATTTTATTTATTATTTTGCTTGTTTTCTTTAAAATCATTTTATTGGGGGCTCGTACAACTCTTCTCACAATCCATACATTCATCCATTGTGTCAAGCACATTTGTACATTTGTTGCCATCATCATTCTCAAAACATTTACTTTCTACTTGAGCCCTTAGTATCAGCTCCTCCCTCCCTTCCTGGCCCTCCCGAACTCTTAATAATTTATAAATTATTATTTTTTCATGTCTTACACTGTCCGATGTCTCCCTTCATCCACTTTTCTGTTGTTTGTCTCCCAGGGAGGGCGTTATAGGTAGATCATTGTGATCAGCTCCACCTTTCTCCCCCACCTTACCCTCCTGGTATCTATTCGTCCTGAGGGTTTACCTGTCCTGGATTCCCTGTGTTTCCAGCTCTTATCTGTACCAGTGTACATCCTCTGGTCTAGTTGGATTTGAAAGGTAGAATTGGGATCATGATAGTGGGGGGTGGGGGGAAGCACTTAAGAACCAGAGGAAAGTTGTGTTTCATTGTTGCTACACAGCTCTCTGACTGGCTCGTCTCCCCTCAGCGACCCTTCTGTAAGGGGATGTCCAGTTGCCTACAGATGGGCTTTGGGTCTTCACTCCGCACTCCCCCTCATTCACAATGATATGAATTTGTGTTCTTTGATGCCTGATACCTGATCCCGTTGACACCTTGTGAGCACACAGGCTGGTGTGCTTCTTCCATGTGAGCTTTGTTGCTTCTCAGCTCGATGCCCGCTTGTTTATCTCACAAGTGTCATTTTAATAACCGGTTCACTTAACAAAAAATTAGATATCGGTTCTACCTAATCGATTCTAACAAGCTGAATCCTACCACTGCTTGATTTTGCTAGGAATTGAACTCAGGTCTCCTGCATAGGAGCTGAGAATTCTACCACTGAACCACTCCCCCCACCGACACGACTGGGCAGTTATTCAGCCATGTCCTGTTGAAATTGTTATATAAGACACACGTATTTTCAGATAAGAGTTCCAGGGTGATGTCTAAAGTGCTCAGCTGATACTCAAAGCGGCAGGTTCCAGTTCCAGAGGCACTTGGCAGACAGGTTTGGTAATCTACTTCTGAAAAATTAGGCATTGAAACCCGATGGAGCCATAACTAGTTACATCTTTGGACAAAACGTGGAAGCATTCTAGGACTCACTTAAAGAACGTACTCAGCTTTCCCTCCACCAACCTAGCAGAGTGCCAGGCAAACGTAGAAGTGGTGCTGGATATTTGTTGAAAGGACCTCTTTATCTTGTAATGTGGCCTTAATCAGGTATGTGTACCGTAGGGACAGAACTTTGTTGCCTTCCACTTTTCACAGCAGAATGAGGCATGCCAGCTTCCCGTGACAGCTTTTATTTTGAGGGGGTTCGTTCTGATGGGGTTACGTGCAAGATACAGTTTGGAGTTCGTCCCTCCGTGATTGACTTCTTGTCGTGAGGCCTCCTTCACCCATTGGAAACGGGAGGCGACCCTTGCCTAACAGAAACAGCCAACTGTAGTTAACCTCACCCAGGGTGCCGGGGAGACAGAGCGTTTACGGCAGCATCCCTTTGGGAAGGCGACTCTGAAAACGTACGCACGCAAACTCTCCCAAGGGCAGGGGCTGGGGCCTGCACGCACTCTGCTACTTGACCTTGCCTCGACCTCTTCCTCGGCGCGCGTCGGTGGCAAGGGCTGTCGGAGACAAAGATCAGGAAGCTTCTGCCCTCTAACCTAGGGCTTTTAGCTCCTCCCCTTGGCGTGGGGGCGGGGCGAGAAAGAGGTCACGCCGGGAATGAGCTGCGCCGCCTGGCCGCCCTTTTGCGTCCTCCCACTTCCCGCCCCCTCGCTCCACCGCGGTGAGGTCACGCGGGGGACGTCACGGGGTTATGACGGCACTAAGGGGCGGGCCTCCGGGAGAGGAAGGGGCGGGGCCTAGGCCGGCGACGC